AAAATGTCACTTTCTTTTTACCACAAGGATTCGAATCCAATCTAATCATTTGTTAGGAATGTCCAACCACCAATGAGGAATGATTGCTTAGATTGTTTTAACTTTTATGTTGGTATTTTTTTTCTCTTTCTTTTTCTTTCTTTCTTTTTTTTCTTTGTTTTTTTTGTATTTTAGGGAAGGGTGTACAGGGTGTTCAGGGTCTCACTACTAGATCAGACTCATAGTGATCTGCCTGTTTACAGCCTCCCAAGAGCTAAGCTTACAGGCATGTGCCACCATGCCCAATCTCAATTTCCGGCTTAGCATGCCCCACTGAGCCCTGTCATATATCAGATATCATTTTAGACTTTGGATTTGGGCCTGGACAGATGAGGTGTAGTTGGAGACCTCTTGAAGTCACCAGTTTAGTGTAGAGACACTTTCTGATGCAGCATGTTGAGGCTGCAGCAGAAAATTAAATTAAGAGTTTTAATAGGCATTACTTACAATTATCTTCTGAGAGGCTTTTGGAGTAAGCATTGGGAGTGGTTTCTGCTCTGTGTTTTAGTTACCTTTGTCAAGTTTTGGAAAAGGGTGTGTACACAAGAGGGAGGTTGTGGCAGTGTCTCACCTAACACCTGGTGGACCTGGTGCTTCGATGTCACTTTCCCATAGAAATTGACAACGGTCTCATGATTAATAGTAGCTGAGGGAAGCTAACCAACCCCACAAGGATCACTTCTATGAAACAACAGGGCATTTGCTTGAGAGCTCTAGACAGTTTGACCTTGCAGAAAAGACCGAAAGAAACTTCAGAGTAACAACAATGTTAAAATGAAACATGTGTATGTAGGTGTTTTGAAAAGAGTACTTAAGAAGTACTTCAATATATCACAATTTGGTGTAAGACAAGCTTCATTTATATTCACATTGCCAAATATTAAGTGATTAGGTTTTGACAAGATATGCTAAACTAAAACAAAAACTCATTTGTTATGGAATCACATAGACAGCTGGTATCTGAAAGAAACTTAAAAAACAACCAGCAAGAGTTTAGGCATACTGGGAAGTTAGGTG